GAGTCTGTCAAAAAATTATGAAAAGGTTAGCATACGAGGCATTCACAAAATCAAAATAAATTAGCAAATCCATTTTGATGCAGTTTACCTTAGCTGTACCAGTAGTGAACAGAAAAATTAGGCAATCACAAGCAAGTGTTTTAATTTTAAAATATTTCATTCATATCCACACAGTAGCTGTAATAGAAAAAAAAACTTGTGGCCATCAAGTTCAGTATTACTCAAATCTGTTTTTGCTGTTGATCCAAACAAAGATTTAAAAAAACCTTCTCGACATTAATGTTATGTTTTTTAAATAGTTGGCACTCTAAATAAATAGAATCAAACAATCGCCATTCTGCATTTGATCAATTTGCTCAACTGTACACATTTTCTTCACTGTCTAACTGTTCTAACTGTACAACTGGCAATGCATTAACTAGTACATGGCCTAACAAAATTACTCTAGTCTAGTCACTAATACCTACACTATAACATAACTGAGGTCAGTCTCAGAAAAAGCCTCCAACATCTCTCCAGCAATCACCTTTACCATCAGGTTAAATGTCATGAAACGACCTTGGAGTGGCTGTAAACTTTCTTTTAAACATCCCACAAAATGCAACTGCTAAATCCGCAGGGAGAACTTTGGGTGCTGTATCTAGTGTTGTGGCTAGAAAACATACTTTGTATGTAGCTTTGCTAACCATCTCCCTGGAGGACCGACCAGGAACCACGAGGTTTTCATGCCGAAAATAGTTCCAAGGTATTCGCGGCTAAGTCCCCCTGAAGCCTATTTGCAGTGATAGATAGATAGATTCAATTCATGCAGCAACAGGTGACCTGCCAATGTTTGACTCACAATAAGTCTTTATCCAACCTCTAGGTTGAGGGTGACTGATGTGGGGATCCCAGCTGGAGCTGGCCAGCAATGTCTCACTTGCAGTTTTGAGTTACACACTGACTCAGTTGACTTAACTCAGTTGAATCCACATTTAATTTACCAGGTACTAATTTTAGAAAGTTTTCCTCACATGAAATACTATTTTTGGAAAATTGAGCTGATTTGACTTAAAGGGACACTCCAGGCAGCCCTTTTTACTCACCTTGTTCCAGCCCCGGGAGCCTCGTGAAGCCGCGCCCCCTATTTCATCAAAATGACGAAATAGGCAGGCGTGAGCAGGGAGCAATCAGACGCTTCCATTTGGAAGCTTCATTGCTCCCTTGTGCCGCCCTATGAAGTCCTGAGCGCACTACCACGCATGCGCGCGGTGTGCGCGGCCGCGAGCTGAGCTGACTGACAGCTCAGCTCAGGGTCTTTTCCCGCCCCCTCTCCTCTGCTGACAGGCAGGAGAGAGAAGGCGCGCACACAGTATGTGGCCTTTTTAAGGCCATACATGATAGGAAGTCCCTCTGGTGGCCATCTGAGTGACGGCCACTGGAGATATTCCTATCAATCAATGTAAACACTGTATTTTCTATGAAAATACAGTGTTTACATTAGATTGCCTGCAGGGAGCTATAGATCTCACCTGAACAACTACATTAAGCTGTAGTTGTTCAGGTGACTATAGTGTCCCTTTAAATGCATGAAATATTACTGTAGTAACTGTAGTAGTCACCACATCACTGTAAAAATACACTCATCATTTTTAATTAAGCATGCTATTTGGAAAAATACAAAACCACAAAAAAACTCACTTCTTAAATCTTACAAGTGAATCTTACTTCAGAGTCAACAGGATATTGCGATTTCTAAAGGAGATGTCAGAGTCACAATGTACACTGAGGTAGGAATGGAGGGCTGGACATATAAAATGTGGGCTTCGCAGAACATACATACATTTCAAACTGTTCTGTGCATGAATCATGTTCCTATATGTGTACTATATCTGTGTGTACATTCAGTGTTAGCATGTGTGTATTTTGGTGTTTGTGTTTTTTGTTTATTTTTATTTTATATAATAATAATGACCAGTGGCGTACACATGACCCATGGGGCCCCGGTGCGAAAATTGATCCCGGGGCCCCTCCAGCATGCTGAACCGCATAACATGGCGGTGGGCACCTGAGTGTAGGGTTACAGGGGCGCTGCGACCCCTATGCGACTTCGGTATATGCGCCAGTGCATGCAGATGCACACACTTAATAAGTGGTCACAGATTTGCCAGGTCCAGCTAGGGTTAACCCATTTTTTTTCAGAGAAACTGCTATGTTTATTAATGGGTTAAGCCTTCCCCCAAAGCCTCTAGTGGCTGTCTCATTGACAGCCACTAGAGGCGCTTGCGTGCTTCTCACTGTGATTTTCACAGTGAGGGCACGCAAGCGTCCATAGGAAAGCATTGTAAATGCTTTCCTATGCGACCGGCTGAATGCGCGCGCAGCTCTTGCCGCGCGTGCACATTCAGCCCAGGAGGAGGAGAGAAGGAGGAGAGCTCCCCGCCCAGCGCTGGAAAAAGGTAAGTTTTACCCCTTTTCCCCTTTCCAGAGCGAGGCGGGAGGGTCCTGAGGGTGGGGCACCCTCAGGGCGCTATAGTGCCAGGAAAACGAGAGCGTTTTCCTGGCACTATAGTGGTCCTTTAAAGGACCACTACAGACACCCAGATCACTTCAGCTCAATGAAGTTGTCTGGGTGTCAGGTCCCTCTAGTTTTAACCCTGCAGCTGAAAACATAGCAGTTTCAGAGAAACTGCTATGTTTCACTGAGGGTTAATCCAGCCTCTAGTGGCTGTCTCACGGACAGCCGCTAGAGGAGCACACTGAGCGTCCATAGGAAAGCATTGAGTAATGCTTTCCTATGGGCGGTTTGAATGCGTGCGCGGTCGCATTCGGAGCTGAGAGGCTGAGGGATCCCCAGCGCCAAGGGAGTCCGGCGCTGGAGAAAGGTAAGTGCTGAAGACACACACACTCTCACTTACAGACGCATACACACTGGCTAACAGACACACACATTTACTGACAGAGACACACTCAGCGACAGACATACATACACACTCACTTACAAAACATACACTCTCATTGACAAACACACTCACTAACAGACATCAAACAGACTCACTAACACACACACTCAGTAAGACACACACAGTAACACACTCACTGACACTCACTAGCAGACACACACACTAACACTCACTAGCAGACACACACTAACACTCACACACACACACTCAGTAAGACAAACACAGTAACACACTCACTGACACTCACTAGCAGACAGACACTAACACTCACATTCACTCTAACACTCACACTAACACTCACTAGCAGACACACTAACACTCACTCACACTAACACTCATTCTAACACTCACTCTAACACTCACACACACTAACACTAGTTTTTTTTTTTTTTTTTAATGTATTCCCCCCAGCCTCCTTACCTTTTGGAGTGCTGGGGGGATTCCCTGGGGTCCAGTGGTGCTGCTGGGCGGGTGGCCGGTCGGGCGCGCGAGGGAGCACTCAGTGCTTCCTCTTCAGCTCCCTCGCGCGCCGCGTAAGGATGCCGGCGCCGGAAGATGACGTCATCTTCCGGCTCCGGCCTCAGTCGCGGTCTGGCGAGGGGAGCTGAAGAGGAAGCGCGAGTGCTCCCGGCACAGCACTCCCTCCGGCCGACCCGACCACCAGTCGCTGGGGCCAGCCTCGAAGGGGCCCTGGGGTGGTCGGCTCCTGGGCCCCAGGGGAAAGAGCTGGCCCTGTGGCTACATACCGGGTCGCAGGGGCGGCCGGGCCCCCTGGTGGGCCGGGCCCGGTCGCAGCCGCGACCCCTGCGACCCTGGTATGTACGCCACTGATAATGACAAATGCATCAACTTATAAGGAAGGAGAGATCTGAAATGACAGGTCAAAGCTGCAGAATGAGATAACATGAGATGAGATGGTTTTCTGAAAAATATAAGAAAGCAGGCACACATTCAGACATAGTGGATGTAGTCCATTAACTAAAGGAGAAACAATGTTAAAGCAAGATTAAGTTCCAAATAGTTGTTCCTGTGTTTATATGTGTGCTATGTCAGCGAGCATGTATGTTGGGGGGTTCTACACAAACAATTCGCCTTGCTTACTTCAGTTTCAGGCAAAAAAATCTCTAATGAGACAGAGAGGGGTATGTTTTTAAACCCTTTAAACTCTTAATAGGGAATTCTATAATCCTTTCACATATATATCCCATATAATAAATGTGTTTCCCGGTGTATTGTAGATGTATGCTTATATATATTATATGTAGTGTCACTTTACCTTTGCACTGCCCATATCATACCACCCTCACATTGCAGCCATAGACACAAACACACATACACACTCTGATACATGCACATGCATACACAGGCCTTTGTGCATTGTATTTATGGCAAAGCTATGTTTCATGACTGTGTGTATTATGAATGTCTTCAGCTGGTGACTGTGACAGGGTATGTAACCGGGTAACTGTGGCAGGGAGAGGGGGGTGAATGAGACAGGGTGGGGGTGTGACAGAATAAGGGAGGATAAGTATGAAAGGGTTGGGGAGTGAGTGTGATATGGTTGGAAAATAGAGTGTGACAGTCTGTGGGAGGGGGTGACATTGTGTGGGAGAGAGTGACAGTGTGTGACTGAGGGTGACAATGTGTGGGACGGGATGACAGAGCGCAGGAGGGGATGACAATGTGTGTGGGGGTGACAATGTGTGGACAGAGTACAGCATGTGAGTGATGGTGACAGTGTGTGGGAGGGGGTAACAGAATGTGTGAGGGGGTGACAGAGTGTGTTAGGGGGGTGACAGAGTGTGCTAGGGGGTGACAGTGTGTGGGGAGGCTGTGTTTCAGTTACCAGCCTCACAAGAGTGAGTACCTTTAAATACCTCTTTTTAATTGAGGAATCCTCTACTACTTGCAAAGTTTCATACAGTCAAGTAAATGTCTTATGCCTTTTAAGGGAAAATATGTTTTTAAAAGCTTGAACTTGAGTTTTTTTTCAACCTACTGTGTAATCTAGTAGCGTTACTGTGATGGACCGCCTGGCACCCCAACTGGGTGCCTTCACCAATCGATGCTTCCTATCTGATGCTGAAGACCATAAGCACCGAACAATATAAGCACCTAGCCGCAGGTTTTGTCTCGCCGTCCCTTACCACCCTGGCCAAACTCCTGGATCCAGCTCTCAGTGGGAAGGCCTCTCTTCCTAGAGAGTATAGCTGCGAAGCTCTTACAAGAGCTAGTAGTTATAGCAGTATAGTTGTTCCCTACAATCACGAGATGAGGCTGCGTGTTGAGGGTAAAGTGGATTGATTTTAATGGTGCCATACTTGGCCTTATATGACAATACCCATGCAAGAGGTACGCCCAATATGTCGAGCAGTTTATCCTATGCAAGTCGGAGGCTGCGCTCGACCCCTTTTTTAGGGCCAGGCCTGGTACATGTTATGTAGGTAGAGACCATGGGGTCAAATTCTGGGGTCAGGGCAACTTTATCCGGTAGTATGGGCCTGGGGCATTCTGCCTATATCTCTTGCGCACTTCCCAGTCCAGAGGTCTGTGGACCCAGTAATGCACGAAGTGTGCTAGGTGGTCGGGCAGCTACCATTCAGAGGATCTGGGGTGTCTGATGGACCGGGTGTCGAACAGATACAGACAGAATAAAACACTGACACACATGCAGATATATAGACAACATATACATACACTAACACAGATACAGGTATAGTGAAACACAGATATATACACTGACACAAATGCAGATACACAGACACATAGATACCCTTACTGACACACACAGATACACACAATGACATAAAGATGCATACCCTGACACATATGCAGATACAGTGAAACACAGATATATCTACACTGACACACATGCAGATACACAGACACACAGATACCCACACTGACACACACAATGACACACAGATACATACTCTGACACACATACAGACACAGATACCCACACTGACACACAGACACACTGACACACATACAGACGTATGTGTGTCATGGTATGTATCTACGTGTTTGTATCTATATCTACATGTGTGTCAGTGTATATGTGTGTCATTGTCTGTGTGGGTATCTCTATGTGTGTCAGGTTATGTATATGTGTGTCATTGTATCTGCATGTGTGTCAATGTGTGTGTCAGGGTGTGTGTGTCTCTTTAAGGGGTGCTGTATGTGTGACATGGATGCTGTGTGTGTGTGTGTGTGTGTGTGTGTGTGTGAGGGGTGCTGTGTGACCGGGTGTCGAACAGGGGTTCGCCAGTGGCGTTCATGAAGACATCATCGCCCAGTAGGGAAACCAGTGTCCTGATTCACGGGGCCACATGGGGTTGTCCGTGTCGTCCTCGCCCCATCTGTTTTCCTCATCCGAGGGAAATTGGTCTGCCCATCATTTGTCTAGGATGGCCATGGGTGGCGGGCGGGGGGTATGGGAGAGGCACCTGTGCTAGGGTGGCAAATCCAAGATCACCGGTCCCTGTTGCTTTCGCCAGAGCCTTTCCCTTCTGGGAGCATGGTTCAGGGCCTTCATCCTTCCACTAGCGCTTGTGCGCCCTTGCCTGATCTCTCTTGGGAGAGTCTGACTCATCTGAGTCATCTGCCATGTGAGGGGACACCCTAGAGCCCCAATCTTGCGGTAGGGCCCAGACTAGGGCTTTTTCCACAGAGGTGGACTCCGTCGCATTGATCATAGCCTGCAAGCTCTGTTCTTGGGTGGAGGGTTCCATAGCAGGGGAAACATATGCAATGTGACACCTATGATACACAGAGGACTAGTGTCACCAGCAGAATAACCGGGGCAGCACCCCAATATAGTGGCAGAGGCAAGCTGGGTAGCGCATGCAAGGCACAAGTGTACTATGAGAATAGCCAACCAGGGTCACCCAGTGGCGATGGCACAGACAGAGCAGGCTGTAAGCACCCCAAATAACCCCCCAGTACCTGAAACCAGCGGCCAAACTCTGTAGAGGAATGTCTGGGCCGTGTGGGGAGGTCAGGAGGAGACCGGGAGCTGCCATTCCACGTGGTAGGCTGCACTCTCTTCTCAGACCCCGTCAACCGCGGGCTGCGATCTGGAGCTCAATGCGGTCCGGTGATGGGGGCGGAGAAGGGAGTTCGGTACTCAGGAGATGTTGCTGAACACATATTGTAGTGTTCTTTGGCAGTAACACCTAACAGGTTTTGAGAATCCATGCCTAAAGTAGAATATGTGTGAAAAATAACACAAAAGTTTAAATTACAAAATAACTACCTAAAAGTTTGACAAAGACTGGTGGTAGAATTAATGCATGGAAAGTGTTAAAATTTGAAATACGGTAGGGTGTCTATTTTTCAAAAATATAGTTTGATGGGGGTAAATTACATTGGCCGGCTTCAAAAATGTCTCAAATGGAACATGGAACAAAAAAAGAAAGAGAGTCTGTTCCTACTACCAATATCAGGTACACACAAACAGTTAAAAATCTAGAAGATACTTTATTAATAAATAGGGAACATCAATCTGAAAGAAACCCCAGCGATGGCTGCCTGACTAGACAAAAGTCAATCACGGCAGTCAAAGCAAAGAGCACAAAAAGGTAGCCAATTCTCATTATTTATTTCAAATGGAACATGGGTGCATGATGACCAGCTGTGAAAATTCCAAGTTGGAAAACTGGAATGCGCACCCTCCAAATAATGTATTTTAGTCTCCAGAGAACCTGACACACCTGTACATGGGTGGTATCACAGTACTCAGGAGATGTTGCTGAACAAATATGGTGGTGTTCTTTGGTAGTAACCCTTAAAATTCTCAGTACATATGCGTTTTTAAATTGCTATGTGTGTCAAAAAAATCATCAATTAATTTTTCATTTTTAAAATTTGGCATAGATTGGTGGTAAAATGGCTGCATGAAAACAGCATGAAAAGAGTCAAAATACCCCAAGTTTAATACCTTAGGTTGTTTTCTTTTAAAAAAATATATACATGTGAAGAGTTACAATTTCTTTAAAAAAAATGGTTTGGAAATAGCAAAGTGCTACTTGTACTTATAGCCCTATAACGTGCAAAAAAAAAGCTAAGAACATGTTAACATTGGGTATTTCTAAACTCAGGACAAAATTGAAACTATTTATTACCGGTGTTTTTTGGTGGTTGTAGATGCGTAACAGATTTTGGGGGTCAAAGTTAGAAAAAGTGTGTTTTTAAAAAAAATTTCATCATATTTTATAATTTTTGTTATTTCACTACCTCTTTGCGGTTTCTCTGACTGTCTGCAGGCAGGCTGTGACTTAAAAACCGCTTACTCTGTGCTGGCTGGGGCTTTGACTGTGTGTGTACCTTTGATAAGGAAGTAATTTTTGGCATGTGGGGGTGTGGCTAACATTCTGCAAAAACAATAAAGATTTGAGCATGCACAAATTCAGCATATAAATACCTGTATATATATATATATATATATTTATATATATATATAT